CTGAAAAAGGATTCAAATTTCTTCCTTTTAGATTGACTTCCCAGTGTGGTATGTATGCCCAACCTGGAGCAATCGATCTCTTAACTCTCTGTAACTTTCCCTTGGGCTGAAGGTGGGACCCTATTTTCCTGAAGGCTGAGAATACCTGAACTGATCCTGGGTTCTGTTAGGGAGATAAAAAGGCGAATGGGCTTCTGTGAAGGCCCCCAGCAATGTACACGAGGAAGTTTGAGTCCGGATTATGGAAGGATCTTAATGCTACCCCCAGGAGTTTATTCATCAGGCATTGATCTGGAGTGGGTATAAATGTTTTAGAGTTGTAATCTGGTTCAGCAAAAATGATTCTGCCAGCAGAATAGAGAGTAGGAAGATAGAGAGACAGATAGGAGGATCAGAAACTGGAACAGAGGCCTGACCTAAGGCAGAGTTAATGATCGGAATGTGGTTTCCTTCTTAAAACAATTGTGTGGGAGAGAAAAAGATTATGTTCTTGGGCTTTTTTCTAAATTTGTAAATGTTATTAAATGTTATATTTATTTTGACATAAAATTAGAATATTACATATGTGTGCAGAATGGCTAATTATTGCCTAACACTCCTCCTACAGGCAAAATTATAAAATTGCATCTTTTGCTTATAGAACCACTTCAGTATGTATATTTACTAAATATTTATATAAACATGTTTCCTATTTTGTGTGAAGGGCTGCATAAACATGTGGGTACTTGAAACGTTTTAGAATCCTCCTGCCTAGTCAAACAGTGTCGTTTTGTAGTTTGAATAAAGTAATGTATTTGAAACTACCTTTTGTATTAGAAAATGCTATAGAAATGTCATAATGCTGTGCATTTCAGTTTTATAAAATTATGCAACAGTAAGATTCAATTCACACTTCATTTGAAAGAAAACTCATCTTAAAGAGTAAAGCAGGAAGAGTACATATTTCCTGCACGTCCAGGGTGATTCTTATTCAGTGTATCTTGCGTACATTGCTGAGTGCAAATGGAATTTGAATTACATAATAAGTTCTATACAATGATTAACTCATTAGAAGATAGTGCTATATAAATGAGTCAGGATTTGAAAAATTATAGCTAGATATAGTCATTATAAAGTAATTTTTTCTATAACCTTCTTTTAACATCTCATCATGTTAATAAAAATATACTTACTCCTTTCATATTGCTAGTGCTGAAACCCTAACCACTTCTGGAAATACTTCAGCATCTTTAGAAATAGATGAGCTGAAGTTGCATCCCTCCCATCACCAATGTAGTATTTTATTTTCATAACTAGAGGCCTGGTGCACAAAATTCATGCATGGGTAGGGTCTCTAGGCCTGGCTGGTGATCAGGGCCGATGGGGGCCTTCCGGCTGCAGACCGGGGCCTTCCTTTGTTCCACGGCACCCCTGGAGGTCAGTCCATGTAATAGTGAGCAATCAAACTCCTGAGGGGACACTTTGCATATTAGCCTTTTATATAGATAGATGGTTCAGAAAAACTTCTGGAAGAAACTGAAAAAAAAAACAAAACCTGATTTATTTTTCCTAATAATTTGGTATACGAATCAAGGAAAAGCATATGTGTCAATCCCATGCAGGTGTGTGATATCATTGCTCTCACTTCATACCAAAACAGAGGAGATTTTAGGAATTAGACTATTAAAGGAAAGATAAATTTTGATAGATCCTTGATTCATAGGATAATTCTGAAATTAATGAAGTGAAAAAGTCAAGACAGCAGAGAAATCAAGCTGGAAAGAACTGTAGAGGCCATCGAATTCAGTTTCCCCCATGTTGTGGAGTGCAGGGGTGTGACGTTCCTCATGGGTGAGCACCCAGCCTTGACTTGGGCATCCTATGATTGAGTCAGTATGTGCCATTAACGGGCAATACTGATGGACAGTCTTATCTTGAATTCAGAGTCACTATGTTTTTGTGCAAATTAGAAAATGACGTCTCCTTTTGCTGAATTACAAAAAGGTACCCTGATGGGCTGGCTCAGCTCAAGATCACCTAGCATGTTGGGTACATGCACTGGCTGGATTGCAAAACCAACCTGCCTCTTTGCCTGGTTGCCTTTGTGCAAAACATAAACTGCACAACACGGAGAATTTGTGAGATGACATTTGCCTCCTTGTCATTTTTATCTACTAGAGTTAATGTTATCCTTTGTGGGAATACATAATAAGTGACATAAATGTATCCCATCTTCTGTATAAGAGTCATTGAGATATTTGAAAATAGATGTAACTATCCTTGATCTCGCTTGTTCGTGGCATGCAATTCCATCTCCTTCAGTCAACACTGCTAAACCTTATCGTGCTCATTATCGTTATTATGGTCAAAGTTACCGCTGAGTACAGCCTCGATCTTTGCCAGCTCAGGGCCCACGGGAGTGCCCAGTCACCCGATAAATTTTACTTCCTGGCTGGCCCTGGGCAGAATTGTCAAGAAAGTAGTTTATTGTCACTTCCTCCTTTTTTCTCCTTCTTACATCTAACTGTTACCTACTCTCCTCTTTGGACTTTTCATGTCTGGCTCTTTGTATCTAACGGAAGCCTTCCCTCCTTTGGCGATGCGGCTTGTTGCTCCTTATATCACCCTGTAGAAAGCTAGGCGATTTGAAAAAACAGAGTCAGTAAAGATGGTAGCAGGCCGAGGCATTGCTCCTCTTCAACATCACCTGCTTCTTATTACAAGTCTGGAGAGTGACTATTCTTACATCAGAGTCAGCTAGCAAGAAAGAAAATTCTAGGTGAAAGGTTCTTTTCATTATTCCATAAATCATTGTGAATGTAAATGGCTGATCCCATTTCATATAGTCAGATGTCAGGTAGGAAGTTGGAACTTTATCCTGGGGACAGTGAAGAGTCATGAATGGGGGAAGAGATGTGATTACATTTGTGTTGTGAGAAAGGTCATTCTGGCTAAAGTGGGAGAGAGACGGGAGAGAGGCTGTTGTAACATACACATTAACGATGGTGGCGCCTATATGCAGGGCATTGGCTGGGGGAATGTGGGGATGCTGTAGCATAATTAAAGCCAGAAACAAACTGACCTCGGCCCTGAGATGGTTGTGGAGAGTGAAGGAGAGGGATAATCTAGGAAGAAGTCGTTTTCCTGTCTTGAGCAATGGGGAGTGGATTACGGAACACAAACAGAACAATATATTTGAGAGGAAATATATTTAAAGGTGGAAAGGATGCATTCCTTTTTGCGCTTACTAAGTTTGTAGCAAATGACATCTCAGCATTTAATCCAATTATAGAATTTTATCACCAGACAAAAAAATGTTTCCTTATGTCCAAAGGAATTCGTCTGTTTGCACGTTAGCCCATTTCCTCATCAATATTCAATATCAACCTCAAGACAGTACTCTCTTTCAGGTCTGTCTTCCTGGGGAAGTGACTTAAATTGATGGTTAGGATAGGAGATCCCAGCAGTGAGAACTGTTTGAAGGCTTGGAAATAATAGATACTCCAAATTTCCTCTATAGAAGGGGTGTAGGTTATCCACCTCATTGGAAAAGGATGGATGAAAAAAGAGCTAGTAACCTTTGGACACTACATCTGCCCAGCGATGTACTCTTTTTTTTTTTATTGTTATGTTCCTTTGGAGTGGCATGATTTGAATCTGGCTTTTTCAGATTCCAGAGGCTATAATATGCCATCTAAATAAATATTTTGAGTCCTTCTACTATATTTAAATAGTAGTCCAGATTATTCTCTATCATTTTCTCTTAAATAATTTTTTCCTTATAATAACTTATTACTACTTTTTATTGTACATTTATTTTTTTAAATTAGTATACATTGTCTGTATCTAGAATGCGAAGGCCAAGCACTTTATTCATTTTGTCCTAATATATTGTGGTTAGGTTTGTTTCATCTTTTCTGTCTCTTTATTTCAGCTCAGTGATTTTATTTAACTGATATACAGTGTCACTTAAAAATTGTTCTTCTTGGATGATTTGCACCCATGTATAATCAAATTCCACCTGCAAGATAAAAGGAAAAAATAAACTGTTATTAAAAATAGCGCCTAAGTGAAAATAGCATTCAGCCATGACATACTTTTAAGCTAATTTTGTACTGGGGTTGAGAAGCTTTTCCAAAGTAAGTGTTGGTATAAAAGCGAGACTCGATCATCTGATTCTCAGCATAAATATTTCTTCATGATATTCTTAATTCTTTTTAATGTGCGTATGTAGATATTTTATTACTTTGCATTTAAGGTTGTAACTACTTACTGAGGTTATGAATAAATGATCAACACAAAATCATTTATGATAACTTAAACTTCCAAGCTCGTAGCCTTCGTCTGATGAGAATTTAGCACAGAGAGGTTTTACTCATGTGAATATAATGGCATTTGAATAAGCTATGGGAGAATTACAATGTAACGCTGCTGGATACAGAATGATTCTTTTAGACACCAAGACTAATAATATCTAAAAACACTGTAGGAAAAGCTTGAACCATGCTGGCACCAGGGACAGACAGGCATGAAAGATTAATGTAATCTTGCATATAACGATGCACATTCTTACACAAAAAGATCCATCTGCGATGTCACGTCAGTCAGCAGAAATCTTTGATGGGTGGATACAGCTGGGCTGTCTCTTCTGGCAGAGCTGCCCCAGAAAATGCTAAACGTGGCTAGGATGCTTGGTGCCATCTGCAGTGTGCCAGTTTATCCTGTCTCCACTGGCATTTACAATACTGCACGGGGCATCATAACTGTGGAGACAGCAATAGGGAGTGACAGATTCATTTCCTCGGAGGACCAGCTCTGGTGGGCCTGTGCCACCCTCCTTGGCTTGGATCTGTTATCACTGGTGTTGGCTTTGCTGCACATTTTCACATCCAACTCCTCCTCCTCGTAGTCTAGCAGTTCCAGATACACATTCTTCTGGTATGTAAATCTTACACTAACCTTTCAAGTAATTTATTCATGTAAGGTTGCCAAAGCGATTTAACATTGACGGCTTGATGCCAGCCAAGATGCCTTATTTTCAAAATACTCCTGCTCTTAGGCTTCTGATTTAAAAGAAATGTGTCTTATTTAGGGAACACTAAGTCGTCAGGCACCAAGATAAATGATCCAACTGCTCTGTGTGGGGATATCCCCAAATGACTTATGTAGTTGGAACAAATATATGACCCTCTTTTACATAAAGCTGTAAAACACATCAGGCAAGTAACACTTAATCCTCTTTCCCATGATTAAAATATAAATATTCAAGAATAAATGTTGTTTTGTGACCTGACCATATGTTTATTATATTATTTTGCCAGGCCGAGTTAAAAAGTATAGATCACTGTTTAAAACTTTCACTTGTTGTGTGTCTTTTTTTTAATAGTAACAGAATATGAAGGGCATGCTCTGTCGCTGCTAAAGGAATGCGAACTACAGGGATTTGATGGGTAGGTTACATTATTAATGTATGTATGTCATATGGTTTATATCATTAAATGTTTTCATTAGGTTTTTTGTTGTTGTTAATCCTCACCTGAGGCTATTTTCTTCCATAAATGTTTTAGAGAGAGTGGAAGGGAGGGGGAGAGACAGAGAGAGAGAGAAACGTGGATGTGAGAGAGACACATTGACTGGTTACCCCCTGCACGAGCCTGCAGCTGAGGTACATGCCCTTGATCGGAATCAAACCCATGACCCTTCAGTCCAAGGGCCGATGCTCTAATCACGAACCAAACTGGCCAGGCCTATTTTCATTAGTTTTTAGCTATATATTTGGGACTTACAATTTTTAAATATTTGTGATGTATATAATTAGGCACTATTTCTTTCATATCTGTGTAATGACAGTTAATGGTAATCATGATAACAGGACATAGTCATCACCTCTCAAGATTGGGCATAGAAAGCAAAAAGGAGAAATGTAATCGCAAGTTCTGGGACATCACAGTGTACCATGCTATACAGAGCTAACATGCAGACACTGGCATCTGTTCTGAATTCTTGCCTTTACCCATGTGAGTTTCTAGAAAAGCACTGATGGAAGACATATCGGTCATACAGCATAACTGTACAATGATTCTCTCTTGAAAATTTATTGAGAGTGTTAATAGCAACCCACTAGTTATTTCACTGTGATTGACAGAGGGTAAATATTTTATAAAAACAAATATATTATCTTCAGAATTCATAACAAGATGTTAATTTAAATTATCTTCTATAATGCCGTGGCTACCTAGTAAGTGTGTCATTCCCCATAGGCATTGGAAACTGTTGTTTGCAGTGCACTGTGGGAGTGTGCAGAAAGTGGTCAATGAAATGCAAACATTAGAAACAAGGCAAGTGGCATGTAGTTTAATAGCCATTTTTAAAAATCAGGTGAATTAATTTGCTAAAGTGCTGGGTCGATAAATAAGACAAAAACATTCTTTTCAAGGGTGGATATTTCAGAGTTCTAAAAGGTGGCGAGTGTGTGAATTATTTGTGTCACGTGGCCACGTGCAAGGGGGACAACAAAAGACTCATCATGTCCAGAAGGGCAGGTGGGTCTTTCAACCAAAGCGAAAGTCTTGCCGTACAACGATTAGAACGTGTGAGGGAGGAAAGTGATCTCATCAAAATGGAGCATTAGAAGGGTTGCTTTTCAAAATGCTTCATATTTTTTGCTGAGAAAAGTATTAGTAGATGAAGAAAGTTTGGTAAGTAAAATTATTTTTCAAAAAGTAATTTAATAGAGAGGAATAAATCTAGATAGCAATATTATATCAATGAGGAATATGGGGCAGGCGATTCAGACTTAGAGCTAAACAGGTTAATTAATAGGCTACATTTAGGAAATTATCAAGTTTACAATTTAAGAAAGTAATTGGGGGAATCATGCCCATTAAGTACATGCTTTAATATACTGCATAGTCCTGAATCACACCTTGGGAGTAAGTGTAAGTGTGGCTGCATTTCAAATAAGCTCTTGCTTCAAAACATGATAATATGAACATGACAGATATCGTAGGTATTAGACCCGGTCTTGCCCTTCAGCATTATGAAGTGTCCCGCTAACTGTGGTATCTGTGAATAAGTTTCATTGGTAACTATATTTTGCAAGGATCAAGAAGAGCTTTGCAGAATGATGGAAGATTATTGCTCAAGTGTTGTACGGTCATCTTTTCCTCTTTACCTGAACCTACTTAATTTTTGTTATTATTTTGCAGTGTGGCACTAACAGAATATATATAGATCCTTTAGTTAATACCCACATTTTTTTTAACCAAATAGTTTGGCCTACCCATTATATGAACTGAGTTCCAGTAATTAACTATTTTTAAACTCTAGCATGCTGGTTTAGTTAGGACTTACTATAATTTAAAAGTTCTCTATTTTATAAGATCCTTTAAATAGCTCATTTATTTCCTTGGGCTCAATTTTTTCCCCAGTAGAAACTGATACGGTGGTTGGGATCTTAATAAAATGGTCATTTGAATCCACTTTACTTAGAATTACCTAGAGAGGTATATGAGGAGGACAATGGAAATGTCATTTCTTGGGCACTTCAAAAGAACCATATTCTAACAAGTGGACTGTTTGAAAATGGGATGCCCTACAGTCCCGAGTTCCCTGTTCCTGAACCTGTTCAAAGAGTGCCTATATGGGAGCAGTTTTTGAAGAATATATATAAAGACTCCGGGGTGGGATAAGGTGACCTCACTGTTCCGTGGGATTCTGATGAGAGAGGGGCTATCATTCCTCCACGGATGAGCTCTGCCAGACTCTGAAGGAGCTATTTTAGACACAGAGAGGTTAGGATCCAAGAAAGATTCTATGTGTATTTTTCAGTAAAGCAAAAATGGTTTGGTAAGTACTGTTTAAGAAATGCTATCTGCTAGGATTAATGAGTTACATATGTTTCTGTGAAGACACAGTGTGACATATTTCTAAAGCCAACAGGAACAGTGTACCAGTACTCATGACAGCTGGTGTGCAACTCCAGTGTGTTCTAGAAAACAGATCCTGTTGCTGAAATTTTAGGAGCGTCAGTTTCTATATTGGCCCCTATTTGTACTGGGCACAAATAGGAAGCTTTGCAAAGGCAAAGAAGAGATGTGAAGCAGTAACAGTTGAATGTATAGTGTACATATGGTGAAGCAAATCTGTAGCTCTGAGGCAATTATAAATATACTAATATTTTCCTATTTTGTTTGATAGTGTTTTCTATTTGAATGTATTTAATTATGCATTTTTCTTATTCTGCTAATTTCATCATTAACTAGATCCACAATAATTTAAACATTATTTGGCGCACATTGACAATTTATCACATTGACCATGGTATCTGTATAGTTAAGGGTAGAGAAAAGTATCTCTTTTTCAAAAATGTTTTAAAGGAAAAATCCAATAATGTAGTAAATCATTCAAAAATGATATTGGTTGATAGGTAAATACACAAACATCCATTTAATTTTTAATTTTATTTTTATAAAGAGATATAAGATAATAGCCTCCAGTTGTACTTTTCTAGGCAGAATCATTCTACTTGGGACCATGGCAAGAAGAAATCGACTTATCCTAAAAACATATGATAAGCCACATGCCAAATATTAGTTACTCTAAGGGTTATGTTTTAGGTTCTCTTAAGTGTGGTTAAATTAGCTCATAATGATAAAAGGTTGATTTTCCCCCCCTTTTCTTGTAGTATCCGGACCCTTGTGATATGTTTGTATTAAGTATACATTTATAGGTCTAGTAACTACCTCTGGAAATGATCTTAATGATCTAGTAGTAGTCAACATAAATAAATACATTCTTTCCTAACTCATTTAATTTCACATTAGTTATCCTGGTAAACTGATTTGCAAAGTAATAAAACTCTCATATGGCTATACTCAATGAGGTTTTATATAATATAGGGAAGGAAAATAATATCTTGAATAAAAGTGCAGTCTTGCCTTAGTTTTCTAACCTGTCAATTGAATGTGAAAGTATATTTGTTCCACACAGTTGTTCAAATTAAAGTAGTTAATACATGTGAGTGCTGAGAATAGTAATACATAGTAATTATTCACTAAATGTTAAATTTTATTGTAATTATCATTTGTTATAGTTTCAAAATACGTAACACAGCATGTGTGATAACATTTCCCTCAATGAGGTTTTATATAATATAGGGAAGGAAAATAACATCTTGAATAAAAGTGCAGTCTCCAAGGCCAAATTGTCTTACTTCAAATCCTCATTCTATCACTTACTGTGGTATGACCTTAGAAAAGTTACTTAATCTTTCAATACCTTAGTTTTCTAACCTGTCAATTGAGTGTGAAAGTATATCTGTTGCATACAGTTATTGTTCAAATTAAATTAGTTAATACATGTGAGTGCTGAGAACAGTGCCCGGTACATAGTAATTATTCACTACATGTTATTTTATTGTGATTATCATTTGTTATAGTTTCAAAATACATAGCACAGCATGTGTGATAACATTTCTAAGGCTTTGGTAGCAGAGTGTGTTCATAGAAAGGCCATCTGTACTAACTCTAGCCACGCATTAATGTGGACACGATGCTCTAACTCAGTGGTTCTCAACCTTCCTAATGCCACGACCCTTTAATACAGTTCCTCATGTTGTGGTGACCCCCAATTTCATTGTTACAAATTGAACATAATTAAAGCATAGTGATTAATCACAAAAACAATATGTAATTATATATGTGTCTTCCGATGGTCTTAGGCGACCCCTATGAAAGGGTCGTT